AGTCTTACTCTGTCACCCAGGCTAGAGTGCAGTGGTGTGATCACTGTAGCCTCAACCTCTGGGACTCAAGTGATTTCCCACTTCAGTCTCCCAAGTAGCTGGGATTATAGGCACATGCCACCACACCCAGCTAATTTTTTAATTTTTTGTAGAGACAGGGTCTCGCTATGTTGACCAGGTTGGTCTTGAACTCCTGGCCTCACGTGATCCTCCCACCTAGATCTCCCAAAGTGCTGGGATTACAGGCATCAGCTACCACACCAGGCTGCACGTAGGTGTGTTAACTGGAGACGGGATGCTCTGTGCTTGTGCTGTCCAACAGAACTTTCTGCAATGACGGAAATGTCCTCTGCATGGTCCATTACAGTAGTCACAAGCCACATATGGCTACTGGGCACTTGAAATGTGGCCAGTGCAACTGAGGAACTGAAATTTACATTTAATGTACTTATATCTAAATGTAAATGGTTACATGTGTCCAGTGGCTACAATATCAAACAGTATAGCTCAATGCAAAAGGAGCAACCCAGAATATCAATGGCTTGTTCTGTGATATGACAGCAGTATCAACCAGTAGTCCCTTGGTTTCAGACCCAATTGTTATGAAATATTTTACTTACGCCAGGCGTAGTGGCTCACGCCTGTAATCCCAGCACTTTGGGAGGCCGAGGTGGGCGGATCACCTGAGGTCAGGAGTTTGAGACCAGCCTGACCAACATAGTGAAACCTGTCTCTACTAAAAATACAAAATTAGCTGGGCATGGTGGTGCATGACTGTAATCCCAGCTACTGAGTCACACCATTGGACTCCAGCATGGGAAACAAAAGTGAAACTGGGGGGGTAGCGGGGGGGGGGAGGGAGAAAGAAATACTTTACTTCAGGCCTGTAGGAAAATCCATTCACTACATTCTCGCTCATTCAATCTGCCTCATTGTAACAACTGAGAATACAGCCTGGGACACAGTAGACAAGCAAGTGAAGGGTCATTTGCAACAAAGACTTCAGGCCAAGTAGAGCTGAAGAAGCTGAACTAGGACTGAAAGCAAGCAATGCAGGTATCACACAGTGGCTGTACTTGCAAATTACACATAAGCTCTCACTAATTAGAAAGATATACAAGTAATGTTTCTTTTTATTCAGCTAATTGCAGAAGATTAGAAATAGCTTAAATATCAAAGATAAATGACATCTGATCTATGAAATGAACTAGTATATAGTCCTTAAAAATAATACTGAAGATGTTCATTCTCTATAAAATATTCCATGCATCACTGAGTGAAAAGAGCAGCAAAATGGTATGTACTGAATGATTCCATTTTCATACAAAAACTGTGTGTGTGTGTGTGTGTGTGTGTGTGTGTGTGTGTGTGTGACCAGAAGGATTCATGTGCATCTGGATAGACAGGAGACCAGAAGGATTTCCCCAAACAATGATAGTGGTAAAATTATAGGCAATAGGATAATATTATAGATGACAGGTAGCACTGTTTTCCTTACTAAATTTTCTGTTACCATAAGTTTCATATTAAATTACATTCTGGAAATAGCCAATACAGTTACACCAGAAAATAAAAAATAAAATTTGAAATTATATAATTGAAAAATAAATTTTAAAGTTTTGTTGAAATTTTATGTACAAAATCCTCACATGGGCCACTGACCCTGTGATGTATTTACTTTATTTATTTTTCAATGTTATGTTCATTTGTTTTTCTAAAAGGAATATAAGTCGAGGAAATGTGTCAATTTTTTAATCCAAAGAATAGAAACAGACTAAATGTATAGACCACAAAGCCTACACATTTGCAGGTATAAAAGGATTTTCCTGTGCTTATCCTAGTACTTTTATAGTGATAGTTTTTACGTATAATATATCTGGAATGTATTCTTGTATAAGGTCTGAATGGTGGATCCAATTTTTATCCCGAAATGTCTGCTCAATTTTTCTTCAACAGCATTTACTGAATACTCACTTTCCTGCCTACTGAGTTGAGATGCTATATTTATCAAATTTATTTGGACATATTTCTAAAATTATTATTTTCTTCCTGTGATGGTTAATTTTATGTGTCAACTTGATTGGACCATAGGATACTCAGACAGGTTAAATACTAGGTCTCTGTATGTCTATGAAGGTGTTTCTGGAGGAGATTAGGATTTGAATAGGTGGACTGAGTAAAGTAAATGGCCCTCCACAAAGTGGACGGGAATCATCTAATACACTGAGGATCTGAATAGAATAAAAAGGCAGAAGAAGGTTGAATTTGCTCTGAATACTTGAGCTGGAACATCAATCATCTCCTACCTTTGGAGATCCTGGTTCTCAGGCTTTCAGACCAAGATAGAAATCTACATTATCAGCTCTCCAGCTCTCAGGCCTTTGAACTACACCACTGTCTTTCCTGGGTCTCCAGCTTGCAGATGGCAGATTGTAAGACTTCTTAGTCTCCATAATCACATGGCCAATACCTTATGATAAAACTTTATCTTTATCTAACTTTTCCTTTATTTATCTTTATAGGGTTAGGGTTATTTAACCTTTTTAGGGTTATCTAACTTTAACTTTTTCTTTCTTTCTTTTTTTAAATTTATCTTTATCTATATCTGATATGGTTTGGCCCTGTGTCCCTACCCAAATCTCATGTCAAATTGTAATCCCCTCCACCCCATGTCAGTGGAGGGGCCTGGTGGGAGGTGATTGGATTGTGGGGGTGTACTTCCTCCTTACTATTCTTGTGATAGTGAAAGTTCTCACAAGATCTGATGGTTTAAAAGTGTGTGGCACTTCCCCCATCTCCCTCTCTGTCCTGCCACCATGTGAAGAAGGTCCTTGCTTCTCTTTTGCCTTTTGCCATGATTTTAAGTTTCCTGAAGCCTTCCAGTCATTCTTCCTGTTAAGCCTGTGGAACTACAAGTCAATTAAACTTCCTTTCTTCATAAATTACCCAGTTTCAGGTAGTTTTTTGTAGCAGTGTGAAAACAGACTAATACAATATCTATCTTATTGGTTCTGTTTCTCTGAAGAACTCTGACTAATATACTTCCCTTGATTGATCTCTTTATCCATGTGCCAGTAACATGCTATTTAATTATTGAGGCTTTATAATCTTGTGAGTCTAATCATCCCTTATTTCCTTTTCTAGGATTTTCCCTGGTTATTTATGTGTTTGTCTTTATTCATGAGTTTAGAAATAGCATATTGATTTTAAAATCCTATTGATATATTTATTGGAAACACATTAAATTTATGGTGAATAAACAGTTCATGGAGAATGACAAATTAGGTTGTCATTTATGACAAAAAAGGTGTCTTTATGATGTCTTTTGATCCTGTAATGTGTTAACTTTATTAATTCAAGACTTCTTTGTATCCTCCAGGAACATTTTACTTTTTTTTATTAACTTTCCTTGTTGAAATTAATATTGTATTCCACTGATTACTGAATTATCTCTGATTTTTATAGTAGTTTTTTATTGTTTCTCTAATTTACTTTTTATTTTCTGGTCTAACTGTACTGGCTACTTCCAGAATGTAATTTAATATAAAACTTAATATGGTAATAATCCTTTCCATACAAAACCTACTATTTACTTTTGAACTGAGATCAATCTCTTTTATTAAGATAGGAAAGTCTCTATTCCGCTCTGTTTTATTAAAAATTTTCAAAAACTGAATGGTAATTTTTACAAATGTCTTTTTAACTTCCCTGGAAATGATAATATGATTTTTCTATTTAGATCCACTGATATAATGAATTATATTAATATCATTCTTAAAAATGAAACATTCTTGTATTACTGGAGTAAAAGCTACTTGGACAAAGTATATATTTCTTCTAATGTACTGCTGGATTCTGTTTCTAATATTTTCTTTTTAGCTTTTTTTTATATATATTCTTCAGATGGGGGTCCAATCTTTGGTGAGTGTTGGTATCAGTTAGCTGGCTTCATAAAAAGAATTTGGAAGCTTTTGTTCTTATGAAAATGCTTTGTAATCCATAAAAATCCCATAAGGCAAGTATGAGCAAATATTATTGTAGTTTAGCTATATTATACATTATACAGGATTTTGAGTATTTGCATAGTAACTACAAGTTCACAAAACTGACTTAAATTAAAGTTTCTGGACAAACATTGTTGGATTCTATATTTATCCTGAGATTCTACAGTAGAACTCCCTTAAGGATTTTAAAGAGTTTTGAACACATTTATTTCCAGCCTTCATTCTTCCCTTTAAAAGAGTCTTGATTTTGTATAGAGTTCAATATTTATATATAAAATACAAAGGTCATAAGAAGACATATGTAATTGTCAAATATAGATGTAAAAAGCTTATGTTCTTCTGTGTTTTAACTCTTCTCTCTAGTCAATTTGAAACATCCCCAAATTCATATCCAAACTGAGACAAGATATTGGTACACTTTAATAAAAATGTATAAGCATTACAAGATGTTAAAACTGATGCCACAGTCTGAACCCAGCCTCATTTTAAATGGGCTAAGATTTCGTTAGATTGAAATTGTAGAGAGAACATACCTGATCATGATCAACCTCTACTGGCTGCTTCTTAATGATCCAGGTGACAGACTCAGAGAGGGGTGGAGTAGTCAGAGACCCTGAGTAGGTCCAGTAATCTGGGCAGGTAGGCATCAGGCAGGAAGGGTCAAATGATCCAAATTCCACAAGGGTGTCCTGGCCAAGGAAGAGATAACTAAGTCATTATTTAGTGGTGAATACCACTCAGGAATCAGACAACAGGTGATGGTTCTCAGGGAGTGTCTGGGGATCAGCAGTGGTCCAGAGGAGCTCCAGGCCCTCTGGGCAGCTTCCTGAAGCATTGCTGCTTAGGATGGAATCATGCCCAGGCTTTGTTTCTGCAATTAACTGTGTATTTTTTAAATTCTCCAGTGGGAAAACAGCCAAAACCATCTGATCTCTCAATTCTGGTGAGGATCCAGCAGGTAGTCTCCTCTGAATTTTCTTAGGAGGTTTTAGACAGTGGCCAGTGCATAAAGAAGGAGGCTTTGCATTTTCAAGGGAGGCTAACTGAGAATTGTCCTTTTAAGAAGAAATGCAGATCAGGAGGAGCCAGAATCCTGAACTAAAAGACAAGAGAGAGAAAAAGAGGGAAATAGAGAGGAAAGGAAAGGGAAAGAGGTGGGGACCATAGGGATACAGTGGGGGATGAGAGGGAGAGGGAGAGAATATATGGGCCTCCAGAGAGCAGCCCTTTGAAAATCTGAATATTGAAGAATTAATCTTGGGACTAGACAAAGGCATCCGACCTGAAGGATGTGGATTACTGCTCTTTCCAGCTAGACAAGGCAAGTTTCTGTAGAACTGCTCTCTGCTCCCTGCCTGTGGAAGGGCAGCTAGAGAAAAGAAGACTGCTCTGAGTGTGTTCACAAGGACTTAGAAGGAGCCGGTGTCGGGAACACAGAAGGGGACAGCCATATGCCCCTGAGGCCCCAAGTCCTCAGCAGCACTGCAGCAAAACCAGAAAGCTCACTGCCTACCCACAGAATTACTACTTTTGTCCCCTGGAATCATAAATGGCAAGTTTTCTTCTAAGGCTGAATACAGTTCACTTAATTAAACTTCCCAATTTAAGTGCCTTGGGAATGTCTCTGCTCTGAGATTGAAACATAAAGTATATTTCAAGTAATTAAGGAAAAGAAATAGTACCTTGTGCTTAATTGATGGCAAAGTATCCACTAATTTCTGTAGCTCTTTATGATGTTTGCCTAGCTAAGGAAAACAAATAAGAAAATATTACAAACAATGGACATCTCACTGTAGAAACTGTGACAGAATGTGAATTAAAATTAACCACCTGGTGATTACATAAAAACAAACTGCATGACTGAAACTACACTTAAACTTGTAATTTATAATTTTATAAACCTCACTGAATTAAATTACAGAATAAATGAGCAGGCTGTTTGCTGACAAGGTCAGCATGCCTGCAGAGAAAGGTGCCCCCTGCTTCGTTTAAGTATCAGTTCTTAAATTGAAATTAAAATTAAAATGAAATAAAAAATAGTTCCACAATTGCAGTTAGACACATTTCAAGTGCTCAGTTGCCACATGTGAATTGTGACCACTCTGTTGGACTGTGCATTTTTATACCATTTAAATTATATTCTTTTGGTTGGGGGAATGGAGTCTTGCTATGTCACCCAGGTTGGAGTGCAGTGGCACAATCTTGGCTCACTGCAGCCTCCGCCTGCGAGGCTCAAGCAATCCTCCTGCCTCAGCCTCTCAAGTAGCTGGGATTACAGGTGTGCACCACTATGGCCAGATAATTTTTGTATTTTTAGTAAAAACAGGGTTTCCCCACTTTGGCCCGGCTGGTCTCGAACTCCTGACCTCAAATGATCTGCCCTCCTTGGCCTTCCAATGTGCTGGGATTACAGGCATGAGCCACCATGCCTGGACCTAAAACATATTCTTAACAATCCTGTATTTCAAGTACTATTTATCTTACCAGTGTATGGATCCCAATATTCTTAAAGTATATAACAATATTATAATGTTCCATCTTTTCATTCTAGAATACAGCACATCATTTAAAGTTGGTGAGTTTTTTTTACCTTTAAAAATACTCCTATCACAGCCAAACCATTTTCTTCCAGTGCTGCATCCTCAAAGTTTTCAAATTTGACTGCATTCCAATGAACTAAGTGCAGCTGAAACACCATGAAAAGAGGGTTAACACGTGACTACACAGGATCTCTCTAGAATAAACCCACAGCTTCAGTCAACCTATGACATTTAAACATGTTTCCTCACCCAAAGTAAAGCCACCAAGAAAAGCATATGACAATCTGGTGCAAAATGAGATAGAAACAAAGATCAAGGAGAAATTTAGGCAAGAGAAGCAATTAATTTTATTTTAGAATAAAGGGATTTATTTGGGGAGAAAAATAGACAATTCTTATAGCAAAGTGACACTTCAGTGAGCAATCAACATTTGTCCGGTTCCATCTTGATTTGCATGAAATACCAATATTCAAAATCCACTTGCATCTACAGCAGAGAATATGTTTATATTGAGAGAAACAGATCCTCCCTATGGAAATTATGCAGGAGTTTAAGACAAATTTCTTCTTCAAGGAATAACCATTTAAAATGTGCTTTGGCTGGGCACTGTGGCTCACGCCTGTAATCCTAGCACTTTGGTGGACAAAGGCGGGCAGATCACAAGGTCAAGAGATCGAGACCATCCTGGCCAACAGGGTGAAACCCCGTCTCTACTAAAAACACAAAAATGAGCTGGGCATGGTGGTGCACACCTGTAGTCCCAGCTACTTGGGAGGCTGAGGCAGAAGAACTGCTTGAACCCAGAAGGCAGAGGTTGCAGTGAGCCGAGATCATACCACTGCACTCCAGCCTGGTGACAGAGCAAGACTCTGTCTCAATAAATAAATAAAAATAAAATAAAATGTACTTTTAGGCTAGGTGTGGTGGCTCACACCTGTAATCTCAGAATTTTGGGAGGCCGAGGTGGGAGAATCACTTGAACCCAGGAGTTTGAGACCAGCCTGGACAACATAGTGAAACCCTGTTTCTCTAAAAAAAATTTAAAAATTAGCAGGGCATGGTGGTGCCTGCCTGTAGTCTCAGCTACTTGGGAGGCTGAGATGGAAGGATTGCTTAAGATAGAGGCTGTAGTGAGCTGTGATTGTGCCACTGCACTCCAGCCTGGGTGACACAGTGAGACCCTGTCTCACAAAACAAAACAAAATAAATATAAAATAAATTTTAAAATGTGCTTTTATTTTTAACATAACACTTACAACTGAATTAGGAAAAAAGTTGTAAGAACAAATTCTATTTCCTTAAAATCTCCCTTTATTTCCCTACAAATCATTCCTCATCCATCAGTTATGAATGTATTATCACCCAACCTCCCAAGTGAGACACCACAAAGTCATGGTTAATTTTGCCTTCTCCTATCCTGAAGAGAACCCTACCTAAAGTACTGTTGCTTTAATTTCAGAAATGCTTGATAAATCTGGATCTTTTTTTCTACTTCTATTGCCACAGCCTTCATTTAGGCTCCTACCATCGCAAACTTGCATTAATTCAACCTGTGGCTCCGAAACATTCCCTAGGTTATTCCTTTGGGCTACTATTTGAGTCCACCTTCGAATTCCAGAAGAATTCAGTTTCAGGGTCCTAAGGTTCATTTCAGCTATATTATTTGAGATGAGAGAAGTTAACATTTTTACATGTCTTAGCTGAGAATGATCAAAATTGCTTGAGAAAGCTATTTTGCATTTATAGGAATCACCTGATTCTTTCTGATAACTTCTTAAAACTACAACTTCAGAATTATCCCCACTTCTCTACCGTTGTCACTGTTCCTGACCTTCTCAACATACCTCTGCTGGGAAGCATTTGCTGTCCACAGTGTGCTCGGAGCCCCAGGCATCGATGGCTCCCCAGTGAAAATGGAACTGCTTCAATCGGTAGTTGTGTTCCAGGGGTCCTCCCTTGATCACTAAAATGGCATATCCAAGAATTCAGGGAAGAGTTATTTGTGCTGTGGGGGAAAGTGGGTGAAAGGCCAAATCTCCAGTGACCTGTCTTAAATGGATTACACTGAATTACATACAAGTGTTTATAAATTTGATTTTCATGCAGTCAATGTACATATAAGGACAAGACCAAATGACATCAAAATTTAACCACATCACAAGCTACAAACAATCATTAAAGGCCAATTCTTAACTTAATTTTATATCCTATATTATTGTGTCCAGTTTTCTTTTGTGTGCAATAAAACACAAATTTCTCTCAGAATATTTATCCAACATCATGACCTCGTAATACTGAAATATGAGGACAAAAGGATCTTTTTTTTTTTTTTTTTGAGACGGAGTTTCGCTGTTGTTGCCCAGACTGGAGTGCAATGGCGCGATCTCGGCTCACCGCAACCTCCGCCTCCTGGGTTCAAGCAATTCTCCTGCCTCAGGCTCCCGAGTAGCTGGGACTACAGGCACGCACCATCATGCCCAGCTGATGTTTGTATTTTTAGTAGAGACAGGGTTTCACCTTGTTGACCAGGATGGTCTTGATCTCTTGACCTCGTGATCCACCCGCCTTGGCCTCCCAAAGTGCTGGGATTATAGGCATGAGCCACCGTGCCCTGCCCTTTCTTTTTTTTTTTTATGCACAGTTTGCTTTTCAATTTTTGAAGATACTAGTGTTGCTTTCCCTTTCATTGAAATGGAATAGGTAATTTGCAAGTCAAAAATGATCACCTGGGAGATGTTGGTCAAAAGGTACAAAGTTTCAGTTAGGAGGAATATGTTTTCAAGATTTATTGCACAGCATGGTAATCATAGTTGATAATAATGTATCGCACATTTCAAAATTACTAAAAGAGTAACAGTAGATTTTCTCACTAAAAAAAAAAAATGGTATGTGAGGTGATGCCTATTTTCTTTTCTTTTCTCTTTTGTTTTTTTTTTGAGATGGAGTTCCACTCGTGTCACCCAGGCTGGAGTGCAGTGGTGCCATCTTGGCTTACTGCAACCTCCACCTCCTGGGTTCAAGCGATTCTCCTACTTCAGCCTCCCGAGTAGCTGGAACTACAGGTGCACACCCCCACGCCCAATTAATTTTTGTAGTTTTAGTAGAGATAGGTTTTCACCATATTGGCCAGGCTGGTCTCAATGTCTTGACCTCATGATCCGCCCACCTCACCCTCCCAAAGTGCTGGGATTACAGGCATGAGCCACTGCGCCCGGCTGGATATTTTCATTGCTTGATATAGTCATTCCACAATGCATACATATATCAAAAGATCACACTGTACCCGGTAAATATATACAAATATGTCAATTGAAAAAACACACAGCTGGGCGCAGTGGCTCATGCCCGTAATCCCAGCACTTTGGGAGGCTGAGGCAGGTGGATCATCTGAGGTCAGGAATTTGAGACCAGCCTGATCAACATGGTGAAACCCCGTCTCTACTAAAACCGCAAAAAAATTAGCCAGGCGTGGTGTCCGGCGCCTGTAGTTCCAGCTACCCAGGAGGCTGAGGCAGGAGAATCACTGGAACCCGGGAGGCGGAGGTTTCAGTGAGCTGACATCACGCCACCCCATGCCAGCCTTGAGGACAGACTGAGACTCTGTCTCA